TTATTTTAGAATAAGTATATAAATTTAAGTATCTAGGCACAGGGATAACATCTGATGGAAGATGTATCACAAAGATAAAGAATAGAATATGATAGGCCAAAACTTCACTTTACAAAATGAACAACATTTTGTGCAATAAATCCATGTCATTGGGGGTTAAGAACAGAATTCTCGCAAACTATATACAGACCATTTTAATATACGGCTGTGAAGCATGGACAATTAATAAACAAGCCGAACAATATCTTGAGGCCTTGGAGATGTAGTTTTACAGAAAAATCCTTAGAATTCCTTGGCCAGCTAAGAAGGGCAATCCGCATGTTTTAAAAGAGGTCAATGCTCGAAGACAACTTTTCACAAACATCAGAAAGAGACAGTCATAAATTTTTTGGGGTCATGTAATGAGAAGAAGGAAAATGGAACATGTTGTGAACACTGGAAAGATCTGTGGAAAGAGAGACAGAGAAAGACAGCGTGAAACGATTGTGGAGTCTTTCGTCATGGCAAGTAGGGATGCCAGAACACGAACTGATACACGCAGTTGCATATCGCATATTGTGGAGAGGCATGATCGCCCACGCCATACGACAAGGCACTTGATGATGATTGTATCTTTAGCGAAATGTACATGTCTTCCGACTCCAGGGTGCGCTTACATATCTATCAGCTTGAACCGGGATAACAAGCCCTGCTTGCTGCAATCTTCTTCGCGATATGCCTCTTGCATGGCGTTGACGACATCACAGTCAGCAACCGCACAGCCTGCCTATCTGCAAACCCGTTGCCTTAAATACCCCCATGGTCCTGGCACATAGATAAAGGTTAGACACAAATTTTATGAGAATATTTCTGATCTTCTTCGCGCTCACCTGCTGTAAACCCGGCTGAAAGTTTTGATTGTTCGTCCACTTCTGGACTTTAGTCTTGGTCCAGAACTTGAGTTTTGCATGCCCATCCATTCAAAATATCTGGTTTTTTTTTTTACTGTATGCAGACTGTTGGTTCATCGCCTCTCAGACACATATGTTTCGACTTTGAAGGTAAGCAAAGGGCTCTTTTCCACGTCTTCAGGTGAATTGGGCATACAGGACTAGACCTCTCCTACTTTGTTTACCGGCTGTAATCTCTTGCGGAAAGACATGGTTCTTCACCCATTCGTTTTGTGCAAGGACCTAAGTTTTGCCTGTATACCAGTTTTACCGGCTTTTTTTGAGTGTGAAGTTGGTTGTTCCTTGCCGCACAGGGCAGATGCACCCCGATTTTAAAGGAAGACCCCAATTAGTCTTCTCTTACGACATGCTTGTAGGGGAGGCAGTGGGTCTATTCAGGTTTTCAACACAACTGGCCTGGAACCACTCGGGGATTTTTTGGAGGTAAGGTGAGGATACGTATGGTTCTATTAGGGGTGTGGTTGGATGAAGCTCTACATGCCTCTAATCTTCTTCTGTGTCCACCCTATGATGTAAACGCGTTGTGCCTGTTTACAACATGGCTGCGATCAAGGCGCCTTTTCGACCGACACATCTGCAGGTATTGTTTTTTTTTTCAGGGTAACATCCCTGGTTAGTTTCATAGAACACTGCAGTCTCATTGTTATGAGGTCATCTTTTCCCCCCTAGTTCACATGTATTGACCCCCCCCCCCTCCCCAAAGCAGGCCTGCACAGAGGAGCCACATAACGCTGGCCAGTCCTCAAGAGAAGGCAGGGGCAGAACATGAAGCATTCCCCGTCTTATTCACCACGGGCTACGCCTGTAAAACCCGATCACCTACACAATGAGTACTCTGCTTCTTATGCATGTTAGACGTTTACTGCAGCGGACCTTTATGTCCACTATAGTTGCAAAGGATATTTCCTACATAGTGTACACGTCATTCCTATAAATAAACAGAGGGGGGAACCATTTGAGGCCGTTAAATATTATGAATTAATCAAGTAACAGAAAGTAATGTGAACGGCACTCATAGAAAGAAGTAGAAAGATAGAAGAACACACTAGACAACATAAAAATCGAAACTATAGTTACCGTGCCGGAAATTGAACCTGTCACCTCCAGACGGCGTCTGCGCCTCGCCATGAACACAAGTGCACTAAGATACATGGTCAACTAGGCACCCCCCAAAAAAAGGTGTCTCATTGGCCATGTCTATCGTACAGCTTGAAATCCACGACTATGGAATACGGACAGAATTCATTTCAACCCATTGAAATGGCACCATAGGTTCTGGAGGTGACAGGAAAGCATGCCTGTGACAAAACTCTCTCTCTCTCTCTCTCTTGATCCCATTATTCTAAGTAGTCTTTTAGTAGCAGATGTGAAAAAAAAAAATTCAAATGAGTTTGCCACTTGAGATTCACTTTTTGTTTAACCTTGTGGGTTCTGAGGCCCCATTGTGGGGAAAACAAGAATAGACCCACTGCCTCCCCAACAAGTATGTTGTAAGAGTCGACTAATTATGGTGCTTCCTTCAAAATCGGAGTGCGTCTGTCTGAGGAACCGACAGTCAGCATTAAAAAAAAGCAAGATCTATAAAACAGATGCACACGCATAACTCAGGTCCTAGAATAAAGCTAAAGTCCATAAATTGACAAACCACCATATCTTTTGGCCGGGGTTTACAGCCAGCAAATGCAAATAAACAATCAAGATTATTTTCTTGAACTCAGAAGTTGTTCTTTCTGTATTCTATATCTCTAAGAAGCACTGTATTAGATATCCCCTGACAGTTTTTCTTCTTGACACCTTCAGATGTCAATGTGAATATATTTTAAGAAATTAGCAGTTAACTTGAAGTTGTTGACATCCCCATAGAGTTGTCCTCAAAAGGCAAGGGTGTGGATCAGAATAATCTTGTCTGTTCTGCACATGTTGGACTTTCTTACAGAAAGCATTCAGCCATCAATTTTACCATTTCCACAAATACAATTATCAGTGTCTCATATCTTTAGTTTATTGAACAAGTGGTGTTTCAGCCTATGAAGTCCTATGTGGAGCCTAAAGATCACTACTTGTTACAAGTGGTGTTCAGCCTAAGTGGTGTTTCTAAAGATCACTACTTGTTACAAGTGGTGTTTCAGCCTATGAAGTCCTATGTGGAGCCTAAAGATCACTACTTGTTACAAGTGGTGTTTCAGCCTATGAAGTCCTATGTGGAGCCTAAAGATCACTACTTGTTTTCTTTGGTCAAGTTGGTAGAATGCATCATGTTTAGAAGACAAGGTGAGCAAACATGTAGAAACAAAAAAAGAGAGAATCTGTAGATATATAGTAGGCCGTAGTGGGTTAGGATAGGAAAGTTAATGTTCCTTTCTTTTTCACAACAGAGCAACTCCTCCAAGACAGTCCAAAATACAGTATTTCCAGTCAAAACAAACACTAGTGGAAGCCAAACTTTATGGGACTAATTGAATTACAAAAGACAGTGAAGACCATATCAGAGATTGCATTGCAGATATAGATCATTTATTTCAAGTAAATCACAGAAAAAAAGATTTCCTTTTTCTGTGTTTGTCTTTAAAATAACATTTGGCTTGAATCATTTTAGTCAGATATGGATGCTCTGTTCTACTTCACTGTTTACTTGATCCAAAAGAGTCTCAATCACATTAGCTTTCTCAAATAGTAGCTCATTGCCCAGAGGGGCGGCAGTAGCTAATATATCAGCCTGCTCACTATCACATACACCCGAATGTCCTGGAGGAAAAAACATAATATTCTTCTAATCTGAGTCTTATCAAGCGACATAAACCACTCTGTGCAGGAACCAGCATTCTTATAATACGTTATAATTGTCTTCCACCCATCTTACATTACATTATAAAGGTAGGTAGGTAGTTGTACCCCACCAGGACATCACACAAGCGATAAACACCCGGTGACACAAAGTGCCACCATGCAGATGAGGATCACCCTTGGAGAGGTCCCAGAAACCTTTTTCAGCCGTTAGGGCCATATCTGTGGCCTAGGCCATATTTAGGGCTTGGCTATATTTAGGGTAGGGCTTCGAATAACAAAAAAATTGCATCCCACATGGGGACGACTAAAGTATCGTATCGTATAGAATCAAACAAAAATTCCAAGCTTAGTCCTTTTTTAGCCGCCTGAAGACCTGCTTTATTAAGGACGGGTCCTTTGCTATCTTATTTTAGTTGTCTTCATTTGTGGTGAGACGACTTAAGTTTAAAGAAATTGCTTATAAAGGGAAAGTAAGTACGAGCTCATCAAAAGCACTTTAATGTTGATTCTGGTTAATAAAAAAATTAATCATACTTAGAAAAATATTGCTGAATATTTCTGCCATACTCTGGAAACATATGAACAGGTTTGTAGAAAACAAAACAGCCACACTACAATCAGAATACAATCAATCAAGTCTTCACAGTGAAGCTTGGCTGCACTAGATCTCCAACATGCTCTGTCACTGGTCCTGTCACTCTCAGAGACTGCTCCTGATTCATCAGTTTATGTTACCCTCCCATTTGTATTGTTGTCTACCTCTTGCTTTTAACACTTTTCCCCAGTATAGATTTAATAGTAGTGATGTCTTTAATGTGGCTCTAATGTTTCACTATGTCTGTTTTTTTTTTTTAGATTCTTTCAGTTAACTATCTTTTCATTCCGAGTCCTTTCAGTACCTCTGTATTTGACTGTTTTTGTTTCCACGATATCCTATTTTTCCGTTTCTCCACGTCTCCAGAGAAATAATCAAAATTTATAGCTGCTTCTTCATTGTCCATGTTTCTGCACTATACAGCAGGACTGAGTTTACATAAAGTCTGACAAATTGTCATTTTTAATGTGTTGTTTATCTGTCTAGAAGTCAAAACTATTTTACATTTAAAGGAAATACTCATCCTGAGAAGAATATCAAAGAACACAACTACAGAACCAAATTTTCAAATACTGTTTTTTTCGACTGGCAAAATTTATGATAAATTAATGCAAGAAACATTTGTTCAACTATATATAACACATTATATTCTTTGTTTTTATAACACATTATATTCTTTCTGAGATCCATATGGCACCTTTACATCCTATCTTGATGACCTGAGTCAAAGCACCATAGAAGGGAGCCTGTAGAAACAATGTTATGAAATTTGTCAAACAAAAGTTACACAGATAATTAGGTAAAAAAAAAAAAGTAAAGGACCCTTTTCCACGTCTTAATGGCTTTTAGGGCATATAGGGCTAGACCTATATTTTTTATAGACCAATTGGCACAAGATGGGTCATGTGGTCGTTTCACGTCACACATATAATTACAATGGAAAAAAATATTCCTGATGAAATTCAAAAAAGACTTCTAGTCCAAGATGGCAGATAGGCAGGCTGACAGTTTTAGTCTTGGCAAGTTTTTTGCTTCTGACCATGCTTAGGGCCTGCCTTTTCTTCCATATGTGGACTAAAAGTATAGAGGTCCATCACCCAGCTACTAGGCGGATTATATTGCGCGACACTGTGAGCTGTGAATTTAATCTGGAAACAGAGCTAGTGGTGCCTTATGCAATATGGCATTGGCATCTGTTTATTAGTTGTAACTACTACTTTAATCAACAATGAAATGCAGTTCAGGTGGCAGAGTGTTTGTGTTGGCACTTTTGAAGGCTGTCTTGTGCATTTCTTCGTAATGCCGGGATGCTGGGTTCGATCCCAGCTGAGGGCCATGTGTCTTGCATTGGTTTTGACAGTGGTATCATGAAAGTCAACTGTCCAGAAAGCAATGGCAAACTATTGGACAAAATTTGCCTAGAAAAACCATACAACAGCCAGAGGCTGTTGGGGTTGGTTCTGCAACGTCCTGTAAAGGATACGCAACTAACCTTGTGCATTTAATGTGTGCGCTGGCTCTGCAGAGGCTGCAATCTGTTTAAATTTTTCCATAAGGCCAATGCTGGGCATTCTGTGTGGACTTTGCTGGCACAGGAAGGTAGCAATTATGAGGTAACCTTTTTGCTTTTAAGTTGGAACTGGGGCTAAGACTAACTGACAGCTAATCAAACTGGAGGTGTGGTTTTGCACTTAAGATAATACGTGAAACTCAAACTAAAGAATTTGATAAGGTTATGCACTAATAATATGTTGAGTTTTTCATGAGGGAAAGCTGACAGATAATTTTTGAAATAAAGACAGGTGTGCAACAAGGATGTCTTGTGTCGCCTCTCCTATTTTTACTGGCAATAGACTGGATTATGAAGATATCAACTGCTAACACCAAGAATGGAATTCAATGTACCCCTACAAAAAAGCTTTATGATCTGGACTTCACTGATGATATTTCTCGCTGTCCCACTCACAGAATCAGATGTAAGATAAATTAAATATACTTGACACCAGATTGCAACAGCTAGGTCTAAAAATTATTCAGAGAAAGACAAAGATAATGAGAATAAATTAGGTAAACAGTAATGTGATTGCACTCACTGGTATCCAAATCAAAGACATGGAGTGGTACACCTCTCTGTATAGTAATGTGAATAAAGAAGGGGAAACTGATAAAGATATTAAAATATGAATACAAAAGGCAAACAGAGCTTTCATAGCACTAGGAAATTTGTGGATGTCAATAGAAATCAAAACTAACACTAAGTTTAACATAATACTAATTTCAAATCAGTACTGTTGTATGGAGTAGAATCATGGAGAACAACCAAGGCAATTATTAATAAACTACAACTATTTATTAACTGGTGCCTGCACAGAATAGAGGGCATTGCATGGTACAACAGAATCACTAATGTAGAGTTTTGGGGGAGAACTAAACAAGTTCCAGTGGACCAAGAGGTGAAGAAAAGATGCTGGCATTGGACAGGACACACATTAATAACACCCTAGAACAATATACCTAGAATGGTAGAACTAGAACCCATAGGGGCACAGAAACAAAGAAAGACCCAAAAAACCCAAGGAGAAGGGAACTAGAGAGAGAAGTTAAAAAGATGGGGAGAGCTAAATGCAACAGTGAAGGATAGAATGACCTGGCATGAGATGGTTGAGGGCCTATGCACCAGTGGGGGACAGAAGGCAGAAGAAGAAGAAGAAGAAGAAGAAGAAGAAGAAGAAGAAGAAGAAGAAGAAGAAGAAAAAGAAGAAGAAGAAGAAGAAGAAGAAGAAGAAGAAGAATACACTAAGGTTATGCACAAAGAAAGCATTAAGAAATGTAAGTATGTGAGATGTAGTGCTATCAGTACAGATTGTGACCTTCTTAAAGACTAAGCAGAATCCAGAAACTGATTTAAAATGCAAAGTAATTGTGGGCTTGCCATGACTTAGGTATAATCTACATTTCACAGTTTCAGCTGTGCAACAATACTTCTCCAACAACTGAAATACCTTTCCGTGTGGGTTCCTGGGCCCCACTGTGGGGGAAAACAAGAATAGACCCACTGCCCGCCCAAAAGCATGTCGTAAGAGTCGACTAATTGGGAGCTTTCTTTGAAGTCAGAGAACATCTGCCTGAGAGGCAGGGAACCAACAGTCTGCATGCAAATGAGTAAGACCTGTGAAATGGATGTACACACAACAATACGGCTCTGAAACCGGACTAGAGTCCAGAAGTGGACAAACAACCAGAACCTTCTGCCAGAGTTTACAGCTGGTGAACATGAGAAAGGAGAAGAACTAAAAAAAACTTTGCATGGCTTGTTATTTACTTTCTAAGATTTTCTAAGTCTAATTTCTCTAATTAGTTTACGGTTTTCATCTGCCTCAGGCAGGACTGCATAGTTTGTTTTTCTATTAGTCCAAGATGTTTCTGCATTCTTTATGACAATACTTGGCATCTTTTAGAAGATAGTTATTTATAAACCAAATCTTTTTCCAATTTCGAAGGTGCCAAGCTTTAGATATCAACACTGTAGATAAAATCTGCTATCTGTTGCAGATCTCACTGTATACCACAGAGAAGCTTCTAGTGTTTCTTCTTGTAGCCAGAACTGGTGTGTCTGTAGGATATATTAGATGCTCACTATAGGTTAAACGAGATTTTCTCAGATATCTTCTGCTTCTTTCACGTCAACATGAATTTTGTCATCATGAATGCAGTCATGTGACGACAGTAGTTCCTGCACTATAATGTAAATCCTGCAAGCTTCCACAAGTGTAACTTTAACAGTTGCTTGTGCTGACCACAAGTATTCTCCTTATCTTCTTCTTTGCTTTCACTGGGGGTAAATTCTGGTTGTTTGTCCACTTCCAGATTTTGGTCTTGTGTCAGAATCTAAGTGTTGTGTAAGCATCCATTTTACAGATCTGATTTATTTGTGTGCAAACTGTTTGTTCCTTGCCACTCAGGCAGATGCACCCTGGCTTTTAAGGAAATGTTGATATTATCTGGGACGGCCAGAGTTACAAACAACAATTGTTTGAAAGAAGCTAATGAAACTATATCTATAATCAACAATAAGAAAAGAAACAAACACTGTTCTTTGGCCACGTAATGTGAAGAGAGGCATTGGAAAACATCGTGACAACTGGAAAGAATAGTGGAAAGAGGGGTAGAAGCAGACTAAAAGAGACGATGCTGGATGGACTGAAACGATGGCTCAGAGAGATAACAAGAGAGCTGTTTCAGGCAACCAGGGATCATAATCTGCCAGCTGGCAGGGTAAATTATGATGATGATGATAATCTAGTTCAGCCAGGCTCCTGATTTCAGGATGACAGTAGAGAGGTGTACATAGGTTTTGACCAGTGTGAGCTCTGACCCTGCAGCACCAACACATGCGGTTCAACAACCTCTGCACTCCTGATGACTACTGTAATAATGTGACATGTTATAAATGCACATAATACCTTCTCAGCATCATACTTTAAGCCAGTGTCATGGTGATGAAGCTCATCATCGCGAAATTTCTTTACAATCTGAAAACACGTTTTAAGACAAACATAAATACAGACCAACTTTTGCATCTTACAAGATGAGGGAGATGCTAACCACAGAATATTGCTGATATAAAATAACAATACAGCATAAAGACTACATCTTAAAAATCTTATAAAACATCAATCTAGCTAAAAAGAAAAACAACCCATTAATGTATTGTACAAAAATGAAAGATAATTATTCATCATCAAGTGCCTTGCCAGCTGGCGTAGGCTTTCATGCATCTCAACTGATCTTGTTCTATGGTGTTCTGCATCAATTCCACTGTGAATATTCCTTCATGCCATTGTCTCAAACCATCCACCATAATTTCTCTTGGTCTGTCTGCCTCTCCTAACAGTGATCTTTCCAGTCTTCACAATATTTTTCCAGTGCTCCTTTTCTCATCACATGACCAAAGAACTTTGTCTCATTGTAGATAATTAATAATTCTTATTAAGGATTGTGTTCCTAAGTACCCAAAAAGTTGAGAGTTGAAAACCAAATACTTACTTCTAAAAGTTCCTTGTGTTTTTCTGGGTCATCCTCAACCAGCTCTCGAATTTGGTTATTGTAGTGATCTCCTATGACATCTTCTACAGCAACAGTACACGCCATGGCTGCTTCCTTTCCCAGCAGTGCTGTACCAGCCCCTGTGAATGCGAGATGGGTGTTTATTTGATGGACATAAGGAGCTGATTTAGACTCTGAGTGGTATACATCTACACTGACAGGTTCAATGTATATCTAGTGCAATGCTGCTTCTGCTTCTGGTTTCTTCAACCTTTAACGTCTTATGGGAGTATTAGCCTACAATCATCTCATTTCAAGCCTAGTGAACACACAGCTGCTTTGGATAAGTAAAGACACTACTGTCTTTGAGAATATTACATAGTAAGGGCCCAATGTCTTCCATGGTGAGACTTGTACCACATTTTAAAACTCATGAGTATGATCAACAGACATAACAAACATTTTTTTCTTTCATGTGTAGTGTTTGTGAACTCCAGCAGGAAGTCTAGGTTATTTGTCCACAGCTGGACTTTGGTCTTATTCCAAGACTTGAGTTCCGTATACACATCTATTTTACAGATCTAGCTTTTATGTGTGCAAAGGGTTGGTTCCTCATCCTACTGTGGTGAAAATACGGTCAAATTTTCCTGGAATTCCTCATCCTACAGGCAGATGGACCCAATTTTAAAGGAAACACTGATCCTGCTTATGTTGACAAGGTTCCCGGTTGGGAATTTGTTTCTATAATGATCATGGAGAGATGTAGATAGGTTTAGACCAGTATGAGCCCATTTTCTGATGCACCACCACACATGGTTCATGCTGATATTCTGAATGCACTACGAGAAGTAAGACGTTTGCGAGAACCAAGTGTTGACTGTGAATCTGTAACAATGACCATACAGAAAGAATAAAAGGGGTGTAACCAGACAAGAGCATTATGCAGAAAGCCAAAGAAGAATAAGAAACCAATGCAGAACTGGTGTCGTGAGCTGCTTCATGCAGCAGGATTTACTAAAGAGGGGATCCAAGCACTTATGGATGGAATGGTTTGATGTTGAATGAGGATAATCTGTCGACTAACTAACTTACTTACTTACTCACTATTTCCACTGCCTAAGAATGTTCAACAGATCCAGAATTTATCCTATTCATCTTATTCATCTGCAGAGCTTCAGCAGGCTTCAGAAAGCATCACACAAGCATGACTCTCTTTAGCTCTAGCAACAACCTTCAGAAATCTTCAATGTAATTGCACTAATGAATTGAAAGCCTAAGTCTGAAACCCAAATCCAAAACTTTAACAGCTCCTATGCCATGGAAACATAATCTGACTGCTTTTACTTTCTAACCACTGTAATATATTAACTCTTTCAGCCCAAAGCAATGCATAATATATTATGGATTCCACAGTGACTATTTCATGTTAACCCAACTATAGTGCAGCTCTCCTTCCCAGGTCACATATATATTCACACACACACTAGTCGAAACCTGGCTTTCCACAGCGACTATTTCTAATGTGTAGTTAGTGTGTTTAAAAGTTCTATAGTTGTGAAATTTTATAGCGACGGGCTCTCCTTCCAGGTGTCTGATGCAAAACCTGATGGGACTAAGGACAGGAGGGGGTACACAAAACTAACATTCACACACACAACAAGCGTATTTAGATGCAACTCACGTTATCCTGTTTCTTTGTTACCCATTTTTTTTAAAATACAAAATTATCACTATGAGCGAAGCTGCACGCCGGCGGACATATTCTGGCTGTGAACAAGAAATGGCATAGCCTAGAAACTGTTGGGCAAAATAATCAAAAAAAAAAAAGATACTCTGTTCTCAACATAAATGTGTTTGTCTATTAAAGTACAATTTCTCAATAGTATTCATGTGAATTTCTAGTGTAGTTTGGTATCACGTCTTTCTCTAAAGGTCCAGCGTTCAACCCTACGTTTTTTTAAAAATTAATTATTTTAAATGCAAATTTTTAAGCCTAGTTGAGGAACAGATACCAAAGTAATAATTAATTAAACAAACTGCTTTGTTACTGCATAATTTTCTTTTTTTATATAAAGTTGTGGGGAAAAACCTTTGCCGACTACAGAGAATAAATTTTGCAAGAAAACTGAGTAAGGACAAAAAAAGTATCTGCCATTTTAGCAAAGCATTTCCCTTCTATAATAGAAATAACATACAGAAAAAATTCCCAACACAAAAGTTTGGAAAAAAGCAAAAAAACGGAAAAACCTTTGTGTAGCACCTTGCTTTGTGGACACACAAAGATATTATTAATAATAATATGTTTTCATAGTGTTTGGTGTTTGCAGATAGTTAATGAACAGAAAGGTCTTGTCATCGCAAAGTTCAACCACACGCCTTCAAAGATTTTTTATGCCGCAAAGCGCGTCTTCTGCTTTTGAAGGAAAAAACCAGGGGGAAAGATAAGCCTGGCTTAGCACAGTGGTTACGTTCAGGGCGCAGCAGCGAAAGTTAATGTTACAGGAATCAGAAATGCATATATTTTAGCAAGTAGAAATAACATACAAACACAAAATTTGAAAAAAAAAAAGTGGGGACCAAAATTATTTTCATGATAGAAACCAGAGGCTCCAAAGCACAGGGCGAAAGGTTGTTCTCAGATTCATAAAAAGTGGGGACCATCATGGACCAGATGCTCCAGCACAAAAGGATCTACAATACGATCTACGGGCCAGATTTGGCCTGTGGGCTACCAGTTGAACAGCCTTGCTCTAGGCTTTAATTAGATATATAATGGGGGTTAAGTGGTCTCGAGGCATGGCGTCCGCTGGAGTGCTGGTCCCGGGTTCAGGCTCAGGCGAAGGCCGGGATTTTTTCACAAGGATTTCTAGTATTTTCCCTGGTCTCTGGGTAGTAAGATCGGACACTAATGTTTATTGTTGTGCACGTAAAAAAACCCTTGGCAGTGGAAAAATGAACAAAGTAGCCTAACGGCGCTGCCCAGGCAAAATTTGGAGTTAAAAATCCACTCGAAAGTATTTCAGGATCCTTACCGGTGCTATGGATCTCGTGCATTGCGCTAGATTATTCAGACTCATGCTTGAGTTGGAAGTAGAACAGAGCACTTATGGGTTACTACCTTGTGCTATGATGTTGATCCGTTGTTCAAACCTAAACCTTAAACATTTAATTAGTATTTAATTATTTTGAAGCTACAGTGGTTATACCATAGCATGTTAGTCCAAAGTCCTGGGTCCAGGGGTAAAACATTTTCACAACGAACTGAGGTTTTCAGGTCGACCCGGCCCGAGAAATGGTCATCAAAAATGTTATAACAAAGAAATGCGGCTGATATGATGTTGACCACAAAACCTATTAAGTGTTAATTGGTCTATTAAAAAAAATGGCAGACATGACAAAGATCAGTTACTGCTAACATTGGAAACTGTAATGATGCAGTGGCTAACTGGTTTACCTACTGGTATGGTGGCAATGTGTTCACATCCTCATTAGGGCAGAAATTAAAAAAAATATCATCAGAGCTTGCAGGTCAACTCCGCTCAAACAGATATGAGGAAATGTTCTGGCAAGCAAAGGACGACTAGCACAGTACTGACCATATCAATCATCAATTGCTGACTGGTCTATAACAAAGTGAGGCTAGCACCATATACCAGATATGCCCCATGAAAGTTGAATAATGTACAGTTATCTACAAAAGGGCTTCAAATGAAAACCTTCAAAGTGTGTCAAAGATTACAATAACCATGCCACTGTCTTGTAGCCTGTTGTTGTCAAGGGTGTTGGTCACCCCCCTTTTGACATGTACCAAAGAGAAGGAGCATTCTTTTATTGGTGAAGGAGTGACATCTATAGAAATTCATCGGCAAAGAAGATCCAGTAGGTTGATGCAAGCCTGTCAGTCCAGCAAGTGTTTAAGCGGAGCAGGAAGTTTCAAAATGGCTGTAATTGACTCTGGCCTTACACCATTTTTTTAATTTCCTACTCGACTCATACACTTACTGGATGTAATTAGGTATGCACATAATTTCTATCACACTTTTATGTTTTCATTTAAAGCTCCCTTGTAATAACAGATGAAGGTGAGGGTGAAATTTATGATAACAAAACCACACAACAACATGCAAAAGCATAATAGGGATAACATACTTTGATTAAAGGTCCGACCGAGGTCTTGCCTAAAACTGCTAACTGTCCGGCATAGATTCTATCTGCTCCAAATTCTCCAGCATGATCCACTCGGATAACTCTATCCAGAAGAGCCTGGGTCCTGGCATCTTTCACTGATGTGCTTAGGCATCGCTTAATGGGTGCCAAAGCCAATGAGGCTCGATGCAGCATTCTGCCTGGTAGGACTGTGTACTGTTTTTTTTTCTTTACCTGGTGATCTAAATTTGTTGTTCAGAAATATGATTAAAAAATGTCAATATCCTCTTAATAAACATCAAAAACATGATAAAATTATGGTAGTCAAAATGTACGTCACTGATAATACATACAACATATGGGATAAAATGATAGCAATACTAATGTCAAAAATAAGATAAAATTATAGCACAATAACGTTTAGAAACATCACACATTTGATAAAATTAGGGTATTATAAATTTCACAAATATGATAAAATTATGGAAATATGAAACATCATGTCACCAACTATCTATATTCAGATGAAAAGATCTATTATTTTATGATAAAATATTGTGGCTAAGAAAATAAATACATACAGCATGGGCCATATACATTTAGTGGTGAAGAATGGGTACAAGTGATACTAAAGCACTACAACCATGTTGAGTGGGCTTGTCTGGCTCTGAGTCTGAGGAAATAATGCAAATGTGAAGGAAGATGGCTGTACTTTTGCCAGAACTATAAGTAATCTTACTATTATATTACTATGAAGGTCATATGAGTATTAGACCAAAGGCTATGGGGATATACTTTCTTCCACGAATACATGCTCATGGACTCCATGAGCATACAGGAACACTGAGAACAGCGAGGCTCAAAGACAGCTTTCGAAAGGGAAGGATGGGGTGGGAAGTTAGTACTAAAATCAGCTACATTCGTGTGGCAGGTACACCAGATTAAACTTGTTGGAAGAGATACTGCCAACTGTGGAAAACTGACAAGAAGAGCCCCAGCTACGTGGTATCGACTGTTCCGAGAGAGAGAGAGAGAGAGAGAGAGAGAGAGAGAGAGAGAGAGAGAGAGAGAGATTTAACGAATCCATCAAGTGATGACAGTGAATCTCCTGCAACCTTGACCAGCAATATAAATTAATAAAAGGAAGAACAAGAGAACTCCCCAAGTCCTACAAGTACAACAAACAAATAAATTAAGAAATAGTGTCGTCAGCCGCTACATACTGGGATATACTTGGATTAGGATCCGAGCACTTTTGGGGTGACCGGTCCGGTTAATACGCAGTAAGGATGAAATGTCAACCAACTTAAACGAATTATTAGTATTACCTGCACTGCGAACTCCATTAGAAAATCAGAACTCTTGTCTGTATTGGGTAAAGAATCATAAAACCTTAATTCTTCAACTTGTACAGTTAAACACACAAACCATATCTTAAATTCAGTAGTACATCAATGTTACATGATTAAAATAAAAAATAACATTTATTTTCAATTAGTCGAACATACAGATTCAACTACAAAATTAATATGCACATTAAAATTAATATTAAAGTACTTGTTTCTTATAACTCCTTTTGATTTATATTTTCATCCAATCCATGTTTCAAGTCAAAGCGAAAGAAATCAGCTGGTCAGTGTAAATAATAAACAGCTCATTGTTTGATCTAACAAAACTTCGCTGTAAGTATTTTGTGTGTGTTGCTGTTTGTTTATGGGACTGTTCTTTAAGCAGGTGAATGCTAACCATCATATTGGTTTTATTGTTATCATAATCCTAATTTATGGGAAGTGTATAACAAGCTATATTCTGAATAATAACAATGCGGCTTGGATTAGATTTTAGATTATTGTTAATGTTATTCTAAGTCGTAGTAATTAGTATAACTTATATATACTATAAGTAAGTATAGAAGGCAATGATGGGAGTGATCATTTTGCCATACCCAGTCATGATTTCTGAGGCAGGCAAGATCATGGCTTTTAGAATGAGTAAGAGCTCTAAACATGAGAGGCCTAACAACCCTTCTTAGACGCCTTCGACAGAAGGTATGGTATGGTATGCATGCAACAAAACCTCTAGCTCTGTTTTTGCGCAGCCTCCCCCTACGCTGAACCCCAGAAGTTGAACAGGCATGGTAGGCAAAGAGAGTGGCAGTAAACAAACATAAAGTACATAAAGTGCCTAAGATACCTTAAAGTTACCGGAGGAGGTAGAGAAGATAGCAAGAGTTAGAAAATAGAAAAGTTCAAGCATTGTGCAGCAGATTAAAAAAAAATTAATTAATGTGAGCATTTTTTAAATAATATTTGGGCGAGGAGAAGAGTGGGTCAGGGTGTCTGAGCAAGTTTCAGACTTGTGTAGGGTTCTAATCACTTTGGGTCGTGGGTGCAGGGACTGGCCAGCTGGTGCTATAGAATCAGAAGTTTAGCAAATTATATATAACAATTCCCACCTAAGTGATATGAATATCGATACAGATGGCTCTTTTGTGGGCTTAGACAGTGCAACCAAAGGATCAGGCCAACACTCAACACTTAGGGAAAAGGCAAGACAGATGCAGTTCTTCTTCTTAACATGCACTGGCTGTTAAGTCTGGAGGAAAGTTTTGGTTGTTCGCCCATTTCTAGACTTTGGTCTTGTTCCAGAACTTTAGTTTTTTGTGCACATCTGTTTTTCATATCTTGCTTATTTGCATGCACACTGTTGCTTACTTGCTTCTCAGATGGACTCCAGATTTGAAGGAAACTGTCCTTATTAGTTGACTCCTATGACATGCTTGTTATGGGGCAATGGGTCAATTATTTTCCCTCTACAACGGGCCCAGGAACCACACAAGGAAGACTTGTTACTAAACTGCTACTGGTGATATTGGTTCTTAACTCAAGCTAAATAAGGCAACAAATGTCTGAAGAAGTCAGATGCATCAGCCAAAAGGTGCACATATCGCAGATATACATTTATTCCTTGATAAATGCAGAAGAAGAAGACATCAGTCGCTTTGTATTTTAAAACCAGGTGTTTCAATGTAATTTTCCCTGTGTAGATTCTGGGGCATCATTTGGAAAAGTGGGGGGGGGGGGGGGGGGATAGACCAACTGCCTCTCTAAAAAGCATGTCATACAATATGACAAATTAAAGATGTTTTCTTTGGAAAGGAAGGAAACAACAGTCTGCTTACAAACAAGCCATATCTGTGAAACGGATGTGCACTCAAAACTCAAGTTCTGGAACCAGACCAAAGAAGGGGATAAAGTACAGCCATAACTTTCTGCCAGAGTTTACCAGCTGGTGAACACAAGAAGAAGATGAAAGTAATTTGTAATCCACCATCACATTCTTAGAGAGGCGAGGTCGCCAGAACCCATTTCTTCCAGCCCAGTAGTCATGGGGTTGGTTTTACATCTAGCTGAATTTTTTTAAATCTCAGTGGTTCTTATGTCAACCCAGTTTGTTTTAAAATGGGTATAAAGTAGTGGGTAACAAAGGACCCTCTTCCACGCCTTCAGGTATATTGGGCATATATGACTAGATCTATATTTTTATTGGCTAATTTGCACTCAGTGGGGGGGGGGGGGGGGGAGATGTGGTCAACATTAAACCAGCCACCTTTACTTCCCAGAAAATTTCTTGATACCCATTTTAACATCAGCCGACATGGTATTGTGGCTAGATGCTCGTTTACAGATCCAACAAAGGACCCTCTTCCACGCCTTCAGGTGTATTTGGCATATATGGCTAGATCTATATTTTTATTGACTAATTTGCACTCAGTGGGGAATGTGGTCAACATCACACCAGCTGCCTTTACTTCCCAGGATTTTACCTGGGAGCCAAAGTCATTTTTGAAAAAAAAAAAAAAGTCTGGCTCCCTCAGAACCTGAACCCAAGACCTTTGGATCCGTAAACGAGCATCTAGCCTCAATACCATGTCGGCTGATGTTAAAATAGGTGTCAGGGAAGTATTCTGGGAAGTAAAGGTGGCTGGTATGATGTTGACTACTCCTCAAGTGCCAGTTGATCTATAAAAGCAAAGACTAGCATCACATGCCTTGTCTGCTAAATCATAAAAAGAGTTCTTTCCTTTCCTTTCTTTATATCACATTCTTTGGTGTACTTTTTATCGTCTCAGTTTTCACTAACCTTGTCCTTTGTCTTGGACATTTTATTTATGTAAAATAGTAGCCAGTGAATTTGTTAAGCATCTTTTCAGCTAGCCAGAAACACAACAGGAGTGTGGGGCAATGAATTAGTGAAATTATCAGCTGCATAAGCAGAATGTTTTGGAAACATTATTTGCAGAAATAAAGCATTTTAGAGGGTTATCTATAAATGGGTGCTAGATAAAGACACTATCTTTGTAACAGCATATGTCATCATCATAAAGCGCCTTGCCGACTGGCATGTGGGTAATCATGCCTCTCCATATTCTGAGATCTGCAACCATGTGTATCATTTTGTGTGTTAACCACCCCCTAGTCCATGACAAAAGGCTGTCAAGAATCTTCTCATGCCGTCTTCCTCTGTCTGTCTTTCCACAGATCCAGTGGTCACAACGTTGTCTAGTTTCCTTCTTCTCATAACAGGACCAAATAATGATGACTGTCTCTTTCTGATGTTTGTGATAAGTTGACTTCGACCCCTGACCTCATAAAAAAAATATCCGGGTTTCTCTTTTTAGCTGTTTGAGAAATTCAAAGGATTCTTTTGCAAAACCATATCTCCGAGGCCTTAACTCTTTGAGTCCCAAGGAACACATCATACGTTTATAGGTTCCCGCCTAGGGGCCCAGTGAACGCAAGATGCGCCGATTTTACATCTCTCTTGACTGCCCCTTGGGCCTCTGATGCTAAACCCCCTGGGACTCAAAGAGTTAAGACATTAATTATCCGGAATTCACTGTGATATGTTAAAACAAGCCCTGTATATTATAGCATGCAAGAATTCTTTTCCTAACCTTCAGTGACATGGATTTATTGCATAAAAGGTTCTTCATTTTATAACATCCATTTTGGCTTATTCTGTTCTGTTCTTTTATCTCTGTGATACATCTTCCTCTAATGTTATCCATGTGCCTAAATACTTAAATTTCTGTACTTGTCCTCAAATAACATCTTTTGAATTTATTATACATTTAGGTACTGTTCTTTTTTTGGATATCACTTGTGTCTTCTCATTATTCAAACTGAGGCCCA